CCTCATATAGTTTATATTATTGTGTGTGTGTGTGTGTGTGTGTGTGTGTGTGTGTGTGTGTGTGTGTGTGTGGAGGGGGGAGGTGATATGGGAGAGACAAAATAAACATGTAGAAACATGTAGGAATCTGATGATTTCAGATAGTGACGTGAGAGAAAATAAGAACAGAGATGTAATTGAGGTTGGTTATGGGTGGGATGGGTGACCTATTTAGTTCGAGTGGCCAGGGAAAGCCTCTTTGAGCTGAGATTTGAGAAAAATTGGGAATAGAGTTTCAGGCATTTAGAAAAGGTTGGCAGAGAGGGAATGAGAAGGAAGCCCATGGCAGCTGAAGGGAAGAAAGAGAAGGAGCAGATGTGGGGTGAGGCTGTGGAGGAGGCAAGGACCAGATCATTTGCAGATGTTATAGGCCTGGGAAGGAGGTCCAGCTGGCATCATCTGACGTACACTTTATGAAGAACTGGAGAATGGATTGTCCAGGGACAAGAGCAGAAATAAGGGGACCAGTTAGTGGGTTATTGCAGCAGTCCCTGTAAGAGATGATGGTGTTTGCAGAAGGTGGTGGCAGTGGAGATGGACTGGAGCTATATTTTTGTGGCAGACCTGACAGGTCTTACTGATGAATTTGTTGTAGGGAAAAAGGGAAATGAAAGACCTTCTATAAATATTCCTAGAAACACTCCTGGATTTGGGGGAGTGAGTTAGTCAGTGTTCTTTTTTTTACAGCAGTGCTTCCCAACTGCTGTCATGTCATGGCTTTCATGGAAAACCATATTTGTAGGGCTCCTGGCTGGGAGGGGCTGGCTCAGGGGTTCCAGCCACCTCAGGTACACTTGCACTCTCAACACTATCTCAGCAAGCTTGTAACCCACTCGTGTCAGTTCACCAGCTGGGAAGCTCTGTTTGGGGTAGGATTTTCCAGCTGGAGCCAAGTGTGTGCTGCAGTGGGCCCAGTGAGAGATAAAGTCATGCTGGTGAAGTGCAAGAAGCACTTAGGATCAGAGCACTCCTTCAGGTATATGAAATCAAAATTTCTGGAATTCAGGTCTAGGACAGATTTTAGAAAGGATCTTGTGCAATCCCCTTTCCTCCTTCTTTACACAGAGGAGTAAGGGAGTTGTTCAGGGTACTTTTTCATTTATTCCATTTATTGAATAGAACGAAGTGCGCGGAGCTGTGCTAGATGCTGAGACAGTGTCACTCAAAGCACGACATGTGATTAATGGACTGGCACACCAGTCTGTGACTGGAGGATACAGAAATGGAGAGTGAACTACTTTTGTAGCAGTTGGATATTCAAGAATGCCATCATTAGGCTTGCAGTTTTCTTCCCTCCCACCATTTCTTTCTTTTTCTTTTTTTAAAAGTAATCCATTTTCATTGTCATATGTATTAGTTCAAGATGGACTGGGGCCAAATCATAATAGCAATAGCGGTTTCCTTGGCTGAGGGCATTTGCCTCAAGGAGTCACGGCTGAATCAGTCACGTGACCATCAGGGCTGCCAGTCTCCCCTTGTTTCCCTCCTGTCTTCTTTCGTCAGAACCGTCAGATAGTCTCTGAGATTTCAGGAACCCTGTTTTGTTGTATATCCTCTGCCCTGATATGGAGAAAAGATGATTCTGACTGTGGGCTTTAGCCTTTTGTTTTTCTGTAAGTAGATTCCTTTGTTTACATTCCACTTGTTCTATAACCCCTTTTCTCCTTCTCTGACTCTTGAAGGCTTTTTCTCTTGGTGTTTGGTTATTTTCTGCCTTTGGCTATATTTCTGTGTCCTTCTCTTGCCTCTGCCCATTGAGTTCTTCTGGGCTAGGCATGTGCTATACTCAAGTGTTTGGAGAGTGCAGAATTCACTATTTCCTAATTCATCTTTTTCACAGACGGGGCATGCTGTGTGACAATGTAATCCAGAGCTCCCCAGACCAGACAGTAGTGAGTGGCAGTGAGGTGGTACTGCTCTGCACTTACAATGTTAGATATTCAAATACAGATTTATTCTGGTACCGGGTAAGGCCAGATCATTCCTTTCAGTTTATCCTTTATGAGGATAACACCAGATCTCAAGTTGCAGGTTTTGCTCAAGATCGGTTTTCTGGGAGGTACATTCCGACCAAGAAAACCTTTGACTTGGTGATCTCTCCAGTGAGGACTGAAGACAGTGCCACTTACTACTGTGCCTTTAGCACAATGATGCAGGTGCCCAGGAAGTCTTACCACAAACTCCCGAGGCACAGCTCAGCAGAGCTACCTCTCAGCGCAGGTCATGTCTGGGACTTGGCATACTTCTCTTAGCCATTTTGTGTTCCAGCCTAGCCTTCAGAAGTGACCTAAAGTGTCTTCTGAGAAATAAATGGCCTGGTCACATCAAGGGGAGCACCCTGGCTTCAGAGAAGTAGAGCATCTCCTTGCTTCTGACTCAGTGGCCCCGTGTCACCTGAATGACTCCTGGTAGGCAAGGGAGAACTGCATGTTTAGGGAACATTGTCTTTGTGTCCCCAGTGCCCTGGTCACCCCTGATACAGAGTGTGGCTTGACAAGCCTGTTCTGCATTTTCTGTGAGGGTTTCAGAATGCAGGTTCAGGTACAGGTGAAGGGCCCATCTAAGGTGAGGCCATCAGCAGTGTATTTTAGTCACCACCATCATTTGTCCATTATTATGAATTGATCTGTTTTCATTATAGAATTAAATTAGGGACAGGCATTGTGGCATACGCCTGTAATCCCAACACTTTGGGAGGCTGAGGCAGTCAGATCACTTGAGGTCAGGAGTTCAAGACAAGCTAGGCCAACAAGGTGAAGCCCCATCTCTACTAAAAATACAAGAATTAGCTGGGCATGGTGGTGTGTGCCTGTAGTCCCAGCTGCTGAGGAGGCTGAGTCACAATATTTGCTTGAACTTGGGAGGCAGAGGTTGCAGTGAGCTGAGGTGGTGCCACTGCATTCCAGCCTTGGTGACAAAGCAAGACTCTGCCTCAAAAAAAAAAAAATTAAGTTAGACACAAAGTTATTTACTTAAAAGACTTTTAAGCAATTTACCTTTTTTTTTTTTTTTTTTTTTTTTTTTTTTTTGTCTTTTTTCTTCTTTATGTTTTTTGACTCCTCCATTTTACTTAATTTGGAAGAGATTTTCTTTTTTTTTCCACTGAAGAGCACTGAGGCACTCCTAGAAAGTTGTGACTTCCAGAATCCCAACTGCTAAGTCCCTGAGTTTGGAGCTCAGTGGTGTCTCCAGCAGAGAAAATTTCCTCTGGGGCAAACTGACTATGTGATGTCGAAACAGATATATACCCTCAGTCCCTGGGAATCAGTCCCTCCTTTCTGTTCTCTTATCTGCCTTAATAGAACTATTAGAGTTATTAGATGTAATCTTAGAAATGGAAGAGGCCTTACACATTATTTTATAGAAACAACACTGCAGTCCAGAGATGTGGTGGACATTCTCAGTCTTATAGCTGGCTAGTGACAGGCCCAGAGATGCAATGTTACACTGCTAGGGCTCTCTCCTGCAGCTGTACCACAGGCGGATTTATCAGCACATGGTTTGGGCAGCAGTTTATGTGCTCTTCAGAAACAGTGGCCAAGAGCAGCCAGTATGTGGAGCAATGCAAAGAACAGGGGATGAGGGAGCCAAAGACCTTGGGCACGTGGCTTGGCTTTCTGGGGCTTCTGTTCCAATGCCTACTGAGTGTGTCACATGTTCGTCTCATAGTCCACATAGCATGGCCCCAGATCAGAAGGCAGCCATAATCCCTTGTGGCTCTTGCCTTGGTTCTTTTCTGGAGGCTCTTTTTGGTGTGAGAAATTCATGGTCCTGTGATATACTAGGATTTTTTTTTTTCCTGGCATAGTGGGCTAGAGGGTGGTTCATTTATATGCTAAATATGGGACAATCCTTAAGTTCATTCTGGCTGTTACACTGACATCTCATCCTCATTTGGGGATGCAGTATGCTCTTATAGCAGGAAATTTGGGCTGAAAATCTTGAGACCTTGATTCTGCTCCCAGCAACATCCCTGCCTCACTGAATGACTATGGACATGGTACATACTTTTTTGAGGAGACAACATTTTTTTTAAATCTGAAAAATGATATGGTCTTTTTGTTCCTAACAACGTCAGAGGAAACACTCTAATGTTACACGTGGTAACCCGTGACTGTTTTGGAAATCAGCATTCTTTACACATATAAGGTATAGTAAACATGATGGGGGAGTTTGCAGTCAGTCACGGCAAGGGGAGTTGTTGGCGATAGTCACTCTTTCACTTGTAACCACATAAACCCCCACTTGACACTCCACATAGGTGCTGAGGAACCACAATAATGGGTTGCTAGGGCTCTGCTAGCTGGGCAGTGATCCTGGAAAAAGCTGTGGCCTTCCTGAGGTGGGAGCAGCAGAGGCCACTGGCCACATTGCAGGTGCTGCTGTTGTTCTTGCTGCAGCAGTGACACCAGCAGAGGCACATTGCTTCCACGTGGATTCTTTTTGGTGCATATGTTACTCAAAATACTGATGTTTATCTGGGACTAGCTGTGTTTTTTCAAAATGCACTTATATTTTTTAGCACTCTGATCTGCAAATTTGGAAGAACGGAAGAGCTATGGACCTGAGATCACTTCTTAAATCACATTCTCCTTTTGTTATATTCTGTTTGTAGATAAGTTTTTTTTTTATCTCTCAGTACACATTGCCAAATGGAGTAGATTGTACATTAAATGTTTTGTTTCTTTACATTTTTATGTTCTGGGTTTTGAAATAGTTTTATGAAATTTCTGTTCTTTTTCATTGCATAGACTGTTAATATGTATATAATACAAGAGTATACGAATTGGAAAAAAAAAATAAAAAAAAAAGGGTGGGTCTCCAAGGCAGGGGCTCTGTAGGCTTGGGGCTCAGGAAACTGCGGTGTGACCCATAAGTTCAGTTTGTCTTTTGGCTGACTAATAGTGAGTTCACAGAGCTGACTTCCCCCTGTGGTGATCTGCAAAGAGTAAAGCCAGAGGCAAGGTGCACACAACGCAGTTTAATAAATGCAACCGAGGCAGGGGCTGAGAAGAAAGGCAGAAGACCGTCAATACCAAAGTCCCAGGTCAGAGAATCAGTGTCCAATTGTTTCAAACACAGATTGGCAGGCAAAAGACAGTACAAATGCTGTTCTTATAGGGAAAGATAGGGGTCTCATTTCTATTCCTCCCTCCAAAAACACTTGCACAGTGACTTGCCTGAAAGCTGGGCTTGTGTCTTCTTTGTACTCTCAGTACAGTGCCTGGAACTCAGGGGGATCTGATTTATGCATGTTAAATCAATTAACAGAAAGCAGCGTCTTTCCTCTGATCATTGCTAATAGATTGGAGAATATTTAGATGAGATTTTGGGAACCCCATTGCCTGCTCATAAAATATTTGTGAATTCAAATGTAATCTCATTTGTAAAGTACTATGAGATGCAGAAAGTGCAGAAATTTTGTCCTCCTCCACGCCTTGTAGAATCTCTAGTGTGGCTCCTAGTGAACACAGAGGGTGGGACAAGCCATGAGGACAGGAGGAAGAAGCAAATCTAGTAGCAAATCTAGTGCTCTGTTGAGCAGAGCCTTCCGTGTTTAGATAAAAGGGCATCTGCTCTTCTTCTCCCAGGCCTATTTTCCTCATGAGGCATGGAGCTGTGAACCTATTGGCGCTTACTTTCTACTTCAAAGGTAAAAGTCAAATGGAACGAAACATCATTTTCAAAGTGTATTGGTTGTAGGAGTGAAAAAACGAGTCCTATATCTTTTTATATCCTTCCATCCCTTTACAAAACAGCATATAAAGCAGTTAGGACATAAACCCCCCTTCCCCAGGACTTTTAACTTCCCACCAAGCTGGAGGATAAGCTGGGTTTGTGGCCTTAGAAGAAAAATTGGTTTGGCTAGCAGCCATTTTAACAAGGCTGTGACAGGTCAACTTGAATCACCAAGAAGTCAGAAGCTGAGGAGACGCATTTTGGTAAGCCTTTGGTTTCTTTAGGAGTGTGGCTTCCTCATGCCAGTCAGCCTACAGGTGAAGAAAGTTGTTATAGAATAGGCTGTCAATGCTAGAAGGAATCACAGGTGTCATGCAGTCTGGGGGTGGCCAGGACTTGTTATGCTGCACCATTGCAGGCATCACCAATCTATTGTGGCTCATTTTCCATCTGCACATGGCAATAGCTCAGCTAGTTCAGCTATCAGTGTTGGCATAAGTCATGAAACTCTTTTGTTTTCCTTTGGTTATTTCTAACACTCGTTTGTTTTACAGATGCAGAAAACCCAGGCCCAGAGAGATGAACCAACCTGCCTAAGGTAACATAGTGAGTTAGTGTCAACATCAGGACAAAACCCAAATCTTCTGACTCTTAGTGTAGCGCTCTTTTTATCCAGCCACACTGCCTGTGTCCCTGGGACTGTTAGTAAAATAATAGGTGATCTGGACACCCATTTGGCCATGACTGGGTATCTTTACTGTCTGGGTCAGATCAGTCAAGTACTCTAAGTCAAGGGTTGTTCCTGGAACAGGAGCTGGGATTGATGAGCATTTGCGGGTATTGGAGAAGGAGTGAGGGTGGGGAGCCTCACACGCAAGCCCAGGGCCTGTATGAGATTACCTGAACAGGCAATGCAAGTAACAGGCACATAATTGACATCTCAGACCTAACTATGTATGCATCCTGAGTAGCTAATAGTGAGAGCTGTTCACTACTGATGCGGTGTGTAGGTTCATTCCAAAGACAGGCTGATCCACACATAGACAGGCTGGTCCCATGATTAAGGAGTGTGAGCTGGCCTTCCCTTTATCAGGACAAAGATAGGTTCTGCTTCCTCTGGATATTCTTCAAGTGAAGCTTTACTTATGGCCTTGCAAATAACACATGGCCTCTTGGTCAATGAACAAAATAGTAGTTAAAGAAGATGAATTCTCCTTATTTATCTTCAGTTTTCTCCCTGGGGTGAAGGTGAGGGTTATTGTCTGGTATATTAGAAAAATAGTACATTATACTACCTAATTGATTTCAGTCTGACTTAAAACGAAAGGATAACAGGAGATGGGTGCATTTTGCTGAGTATCTGAGATAGCCCACCTTATTAATTCTAAATATGTCCTAGTTTCCCTTTCCAATGCTTCTTGGTTTCTTACCACTTCTAAACCTGTCTTCCCCATGTGCAGCGTAGTGTGGGTAGAGATAGGAATAAGAAGGGGCTAATTCTTACCTCAGAAGAAAAATAACTTGGCAGTCAAGAGAAAATTGATGGCGACACTCTTTGCCAACAGCATTCGTAGCCCCAGCACTGTGAGGGACATCATGTTCACCTTCTCGGCATGAACTATGGTTGAACAACAGTGAAGAAGGTGGCTTCAGGGAGAGACTAGATTCCCTTCCAGGAATTGGACCTGCAACGCTGATACTAGCTGGCCCCATACCTGCGTCATTCTTTCTAGCCTGCAAGCCCAGCATGGTGCTAGACAGCCCTCAGAGACTTTAGGCTGCAGCTCACACCCAGCCAGGCAAACTCTGCTGGGAGAGGCAGAGGCTCCACAGAACTGACTGAGCTCAGCGTGGTTGGGGTTTTCTTTGGAAATCTGTTACTTTTTGCCCCCAGCTGACAATTACAGAGTTTGCTTTAACCCTTGACTCTGAAGTTGGCCCTTTGATTTGAACTAACCTTTGGGTTCGTGGCAGCTCTTTGAAGATTGCTTTGTGTTTTCAGTTTGCATTGATGTTAGGTTATCTGGAACAAACAGCAGTGGTCAAGGTTACTGGCAATGAAGAGGTTCACAGGACTGTAGGATTTTAAAACTGGAGGAGACATTAGATGAGTGCACTGAGGACCAGAAGATGTGAGTTTGTTAAGGTCACATAGCTAATTAAACAACATGCTTCCCATTCCAGGCTTTTTCATTGTACCGTGAGGTCAATATCCAGGCACACCACTATGAGGGAAGAACTAGGATTCTTAGCCCCATGGTGGGCCGCGTTGCCCTCTGTTGGAGTTTAGTACTGGATTAGACTGTGTGTGGACTTTCAATCCCAGAGTCTAGTATGAAGGGGACAGTGGCTGGTAAAGAGGAGAGATGGGGATGAAATGAGGCTTTATCTTAGATTTCATCTTAGGGATGCCAAGCATCTCCCTCCCTGGCCAATGGCAGGCTATAGTTGGGCCTAAGTCTTGTTTCCAGCGTGATGCTATACTGAGAATGATTTGTCCACAGTTTACATCTCTAACTTCCCTTTCACCTAATTCTTATTCCCCATAATCTCCAGCCCCATGAAGCTAGATATGGCCTACCTGAAGAATTTGCCCTCAATTCAAAGTCAGTGGAGTGCACAATGGTATTGTTGTGTTGAACTGAACATGTCACTGAATTTGAATCTTCATATTGACCAAGCTTGACAGCATTGTACTTCCCACTGGGAGAGACGACAATAGCAGGATCAAACTCTGTTATCTTCTTGGATGACTTGAGATTTATACTTATATCCCTGGGGTAGAAGTCCTTCACCAGACAAGCAACATTTTTTCCATTTTTCATGACGAAAACAGATGGTTTGGTAGGAGGTTGAATTTCTGCAAATATAATCAACTTATTAGGTGAGATGATTATTCATAACTTTATAGGGGTTAAACAGTGGCGATTACTTCGATTACCCTGGAGCCAAACACTGCAATCCAGACCTCCATGCATCCTGTTAGTGATCTGGGCTTATTAGCACCTCTGTGAAAGGATGGGGAAGGGGAGCACAAATGAAAGGCAGTAAGTTTGACTTCGAGTTAGGAGCTGCTAGGAGATAGGGCTGGAAGCAGAGAAGGAAAATAAGAACAACACTGGATCATCTGGGTTTCCATTATCTCTCTCTCTCTCTCTCTCTCTCTCTCTCTTTCTGTGCGTGTGTGTGTGTGTGTGTGTGTGTGTGTGTTTTCTTTTTTTTTTGAGATGGAGTTTCGCTCTTGTTGCCAAGATTGGAGTGCAATGGCGTGATCTTGGCTCACCACAACCTCTGCCTCCTGGGTTCAAGTGATCCTCCTGCCTCAGCCTCCCGAGTAGCTGGGATTACAGGCATGCATCATCACACCCAGCTCATTTTTTGCATTTTTAGTAGAGATGGGGTTTCTCCATGTTGGTCAGACTGGTCTCAAACTCCTGATCTCAGGTGATCAGCCCACCTCGGCTTCCCAAAGTGCTGGAATTACAGGCATGATTCACCACACCTGGCCGATTATCTGTGTTTTATTAATCAGTCCTCTGGGCTATCTAGGTCAGGCTGACTGTCTGTCTGCACCAGTTGGTTTTTGTGAATGCGTGGGCCCTTGGGTGGTAGATCAGGGCAGGTGCTCATGCTCTGCATTCTGTCACTTAAGGAATCGAGAGTCTGAGAAGGACTGCATGACTGGCTCAGAGGCTCTGGGGACAGCAGTGTTGGAGTCATGGAAGGGTGCTGTCTCCATTTTATGGACTCGAAGGATCTGCTGAAGTTAGGTGGTGCATGTTTCTGCCTTTAGGTTAATACTCATTCTTCTATAGGGGACTGACTACTATATAGTTTTCTTTGAGTCTTTAATCAGAGGATAACAACGATCATTTTCAGGAAGTCCTTAAAGGAATAAAACCAATTTAAGCCTGTTTCTTCTTGTTTTAGTCTAAGAGTATCTATGGAATGTTGGTCCCAGGGTTGGGTCCCCTCCTGGCCTTCTCTTCTTTTGTGCCTCACTTTGGACTAATGCCCTGTCCATGCATCCTTTTCTTTCCTTAAAACCACAAGTCTTGAAGCGTTGAGAGAGGTAGCGATGATTCTTTCACACAGTGTCTCACTGAAGTTTTTGAATTGTGATAAATGTTGTGTCCACGGAGACTTAGATTCTTAGGCTGTCTTCAAATAACCGCTAAAGAAAGAGCCTTGCTAATACCTGAAATCGAGAAAGACAACCAACCTAATGATGATTTAGGTATATTTTCAATCCTAAATTTAATGCTGACTTTCAATATTAATTACTTCTGTAAATTTTACCCTTGGTATTTGAAACTTCGGTGAATTTGGCTTCTTGATTTTAAATAAAAAATATGTTGAATTTCAGCATACTTTAATCTACTATGGTCTACAGCCAAGACATTAGGTATTGCTAAAAAAAAGTTGGTAATTTAATGTGTAAATGGAAAATAAGTAACTTTTCATTTTTTTTTGAGACAGTGTGTTGCTCTGTCACCTAGGCTGGAGTGAAATGGCCCAATTGCAACTCATTGCAACTTCTGGCTCCCAGCTCAAACTCTCCTCCAGCCCCAGTCTCCCGAGTAGCTGGGACCACAGGTGCACACTACCACACCCGGCTAATTTGTTGTATGAAAATAAGTAATCTTTCTAATGCTTTATCCTGATTCTGAATTTGGGCTTCAACTGTGAGGTTCACAGCAGTAGAGCTACTGCCAAATCAACTGATTATATGTGCTTGAGAGGGAACGATTGCTAGTCAGGAAGTTCCTGCCGATCACGGCTTTGTAAATACACCAAAGTTGATCAAGGCTTTCCTAGGAAATCAAATATTCAGAGAAACCCCCTCATCACTACCATCATAATTCTCCATCTTTCCTCTGCTGAGAAGCTAAGCTAAAAGACTGATTCTGTTTCAGTCATTCAGGGCAGGACACTCATTCCTAAGAACCTGCTTCCTTATGTTTTTGGCTTTAGCTCTAGACAATTGAGAGGATTAGAAATTTTTCAAAGGACTTTTTGGAACCTACTTTCAACCTGCTTGAGAAAACTTCCCCTGTTTGGTTTCCTTGCATTGCTGAAGCCACTGATAACAGAAACTGATAACTTAGCATTAACGGCTGGAAACCACATGCACCGCTCACTTAACTCCCTTTATAACTGCGACACTTCTTGCTTACTCTCTTGACTTTGGTTTGAGACGTACTCTGGCTGACTTTCAAGGGAGTTAAAAGTTACAAAGGAAACTTGTCCATAAAATAAACACCCTATCTCCTTGCTTATTTAAGAGTATCCCTTAATCCTAGTCTGATTTAGTTGGACAATTAAAGCTCGCTGGAATTTTAAAACCTAAATTCATCAGGCAGTTATCAAATGATCACTTTGGTTTGGGGAGATTGAGTTTGAGTAATTTGAATAATACAATATAACTGAAAAGACGGATGTCTGAAGAAGGTCATGCACTTATGATATTGTGCTCCAAATCTAACAGCATTTCAGAGACAGCATAACACATTGATTTGATAAAACATTTTTCTGAATCCCTCTTTCTACATTTATGTTCATATTCTCAAAACAATTGTTTGAAAGAAAAGTGTCTTATCTAATCCATTCTTTGGCATCTTGGTAACCAAAGAAAAAGGTATCTGACTGAATTAAACCTTTATAAAAACTAGAATGTACTCAATATAGTTGCCATATGCATGCCAGTCTATTTTTGTATTTGACTTCAACCTAAATGTGAAGCTGTACCAAATTGTAGTCCAAAATTTAGATTAAAGATTTATTTACCTTTGAAGAATTTGTAGTCTTTTTTCTTGGTCCACAAATATAATTACATTGCAACATGTGTTTTAAGTGCTATTTCTTTGGAAATTGTTTTATTTTCAGACTTTCTCTTTTTATGAACACCAATATATTACTAAGGCTATGTGCTGGTAAACAATACCAGAAAAGTGTATACCACTCCTGAATAGTCTTTCTTAATTTATAAACTTAGAAATCATCTATGTTTTAGATTCACACAGAGAGTCCTACTGATGCCCTAAGAATTGCAACATCTGTAATAAATGTCACTCAGAATTTCAAGAATTTCTGCCAATATGGGATTTAACTTAAAACCTGAAATAAAAGTTTGTTCTACCTAATGACTCTGACCATACTAACTACCTTTCTCCAGAATCTTCCAAGCTATAGGACATTTGTTTTTAGTTTGCAAGGAGGCATGCATACTAGTTAGCTTAGCGAAAGGGATGTACAGAGATGAAGCAGCTTCCTGAGGAATTGGGGCCAAAGTATCCCTGCCACTGTCTCCCCTGCACCTGAATGCTCCAGCTCTTAGTGTAGTTCTTCTAGATTTCTTTGTGTTTTTTGGGCTGCTCTGAAGATTTCATAAATAAATGGGAGCTATTGTTTTTATATACGGAATATATAGTATATATGCTGTATAGCTTGAGTATATATATTTCACAATAAAAGGAGTTACAGAGCTACTTCAGTGACTCAGTCTAGTGTGTTCATGCTGGCCTGCTTCACATCTGTACCACTTTATCTACTTGTTATGATTTAATCTACTAGTTATAATTTATAATGCAAATTGGATTATAGCCCCAGTGCCAGGACTCAAATTATCCCTAAAAATATAGGAAAAAGATCAACTCACGGGGCTCCACGAAGAGTTTGGTGCCAGTTCCGAAAAACATCTGTCGGGTGTCCCAGGAGCACATTATGACAGTGCCTCACAGGTAACTAGCCTGGAGCTGGCCCTAGGCCTGGGCTGTAACATCTGTGTCCTGCCTCCGTAGCCTCAGCTCTCAGCCTAGAGACCCCACAGCTCAGAGAACTACAAAGCTGCCCTTGATGAGACCAAGGGGCTGAGTGCAGATCTAAGTCTCAGATCTCTTTGAAGCTAATAATAGTTGAACTGCTGGATAGCAGTTCAATGTGAAGGTGAAGTCCCCATCCAAGAGATACTGGGGCAGGGCTGAGACAGAGCAAGAGAGGAGGGTGACAGTGAGGAATAGCTGCCTTCATGATAGAAAATCTAACTCCCAGTTTGTTAAGAGGGCCATCCAAGAAGAAGACAATAGCTTGAGCATAGGCACAGGGCACTCAGCTTGACATTTCTTACAACAAATGTTAGGTTGAGGAGAGAAGGGTTATGGAAACAGGTTCCATTCTTATACCCTGGTTCCATTCCCTTGGGTCATGAGTGCTGCTTTTTGATTAGAAATCTAATTTCCTCCCATCACTCAGACTGAGTCTCACGATAATAATGAACCTGCTTTCTAATTTCCTGAGCTTGGCAAAAGGCTTTCTAAGGATCTGAGGGCTGAACAAGAAATTGGTCACTGCTGGGGGAGCCCACTGGTGCTGTGTGTCATGGATGCAAATCAGAGAAGCCAGTGGTTGCTTTGAATTGCTTATTTTGTTTTATAATTTCTCCTAACTCTGGATCCAGATACAAGTCTCAGGAGTATATAGTCATCATGTAAAATATAACTTAAAGACCATATGAATTACTCTGCCTCGTCACCAAAAAAATCAAGTTCCTTGGGCTAGAGCTAAGTAAGAGAGAATGACAATTGTGTAGGGCCATTATTCACTGTCAAAACTTTAAGGACTTGGGGCTTGATTTGAAAATTTTCACATCCCCTACCTGAGTTTCACATCATCATATTACATTTCATCTCTGCAGGAGAAGAAAATCAGAGAACTAAATGGAGTATCATTGGGGAGCATGGTCAGAGTCCCAGCAGAGAGGCCAAGCATCAATTTCATCAATTTCCTTCTTTCCTAAGACTCCCAAAGGCACAGCCTCAAAGATTTGATTCTAACACTGCAGATAATTTCAAATTTCAAGTG